GGGGGGGGTGGAGGGATGAGAGAGAAGCAGATTAAAAGACCGTCTGAAGAAAACAAGATCACAGGGAGAGAGTGGGTGACCCAGGTGGGCTGGACACACCCGGGCGACGGCTCTGGGAAGCACTTGAGGGGCTTTTTCATGAGTCTGAGAAGGACCCAGGCCCGCGGTCGCCCGGCTGTCCTTCCGCTCTGGCTTTAGTCCCGTCCTGGTGGCCAGGAGAGCCCCACCTTGGCGGGCCCTCCCTCCCGCTCCCCACAGCGCCAGGGTGTCAGAGCTTTTTCTTTTCAAAGTGGGGCACGATTCCGCTGTCCTCGGGCCGTGGGCTGCCGGCCCCTTCCGTCTCCTTCAGGCCCTCCTCGGCCAGCTGGGACAAGTACTTCTGTGGCGGGAAGACAGGGACAAAGGAGGGAGGAAGAGGGTCAGTGGTGACCTAGCAGGACAGGAGAGGAGGCGTGTGACTGGCCTCCGCTCCTGCCATCCCGCCCAGGGGGTGCGGCCCCCTCGCCTGCCTCCCCAGATCCTGCTGGGCTACAGGACCCTTGATAAGCAATGCACCTTCTCCCCCTTTACATCAGGTGACAAGGAACACGTGTCTCCTGACAGCAAACACTTGCAGGGCCCTTATCCTGGGCAAGTGCTGTTCTAACCGCCTTTCTTATCTAAACTATTTAAACCTCACCACGACTCTACTTATTTTCCAGAAGGAGCCCAGTATCCAGGCAGCGTGTCCACGTGTAAAGGAAGAGGGAGGAGAGGGAAGCTGGAAGGGCAGGAGGAGAGAAACGCTGTCCTACAGGGATCAGGACAGTCAAAACCGCAGCCTGACATGTGAGACTCCTAACAACCTGCTTCCTGTCCGGCAGGCTGGCAGGTGCAGTGGCCTGGAGGTCCTTCTACGGGCTGCCTCATGGTGCCAGGACACTCACTGCTAAGACTGGCCCCCAGCCGAACATCGGGCCGCTCCTGGGACTCTGGATTCATTGCAGCCAGACAGAGCTAGAAGGCGTCTGGGGCCCCGGCTGGGCCCTCCGAGTGCTGGGCAGCCAGGGGCAGGGCAAACAGCACTCGATTGGGAGCCGCAGGGGCAGGTCCAGCACATGGTCAAGGGTGTGGGCTCTGCCGTCAGATAACCTGGGTTCAAACCCTAGATATCAACAGGCACGTCACCCAACATCTCTGACATCTGTCGAGTGTGGGTCATAACGGAACTACCACATAAGGTTGCTGTGACGTCCAAGAAAGGTACCATAAAACTTTTAGCACAGCGCCGGCACTGAATAAACGCTCTGAGATGCTGCCTTTTATCACGAGTGGCACCAGTCATCTGATTTCAAGAAAGTCACCCATCTTTTCCCTGCCTCAGGCCCAAATCTGTTAAATGGGAAAAAGTGTCTTCTGCCCCCGGGGTGACTTAAGGGCAGATGAGAAGACATGCACATGATGACTGGTCTGCCTGCCCTCTCTACGGTTGGCTCTGAGGGGCAGGGGGTCTGAGGGGAGAGGGCAGACCACCGTGCATCCCCACAGGCCAGGCTTCGGATGGAGGGCCGGATTCTCCTCTGCCTCAGCCCAGGAAAGGGAAAGGTGTGCTCGGAAAGGCCAGTGGGTGCCTGCGCTGCGAACGGGCATGTTCCTCTCTGGTCCGGAGCCAAGCAGGTGCCTAGCTTTCCTACCTCGTACTGACTCCACCTGTTGCTCTGGATCTCTCTGGTGAGTTCTCTCAGGGCCGTGACCAGCAGTGAGGCACAGCAGGGACTGTGCGGAGAGAACTCCTGCCATCTGCTCCCTGCCTCTAAGAGTAATCCCCGATCCCCACCTCAAGGCCTCCTGGGGGGTTAAGTTTTCAAGTTGCCTGGCTTAGGTGTCAGCCAGCACCTGCTCCTTGGGTCTGAGTTCTTCACTTTTCACGTGTGTAACTTGGGGTAGGATGCGGTGCGTGAGCCTATGTGGACAGAGACATTTTGTCAAGGTCACTGACAGAAACCCTATCTGGGAAGCCTGCGGTGGAGGCTCCCAGCTCCCTGACAGGTGCCCAGGGAAACCTGAACTGTGGTTGGCAGTTGTAAGGGGATTAGCCACCTAGGGACCACAGGAATGGCTCTGCCCTGCTGTGGGAGGTGAGTCTGCCTGGGAGTCTGGCCCTAAGGCCCAGTTCACTACCCTGGAAAAAAGCATGGGACCTAGAATTAGAGGCCCTGGCATGCTTCCTAACTTCCTGGATGACCTGGAGCTGTGTGGCCTAGCTGATAACGTTGGATGAGATTAAAGGTTCTCACACTGAGGTATCAGAATCTGCTGGAAAGATTTTAAAAATTCAGATTCTCAGGTCCAGCCCTAGAGTGAATGAATAAGCAGGTATAAGGTGGGTACAGGAAGGTGCATTTATAAAAGATGCCAGCTGCTATGAGGACCAAGGTTTGGGATAATCAGGACCAGGGGATCTCCAAGACTCTCCCCAGCCATGCCATTCTGTAGGTTTCATTTTGTTGGGGGTGAGGGTGATGATGTCTTCAGGGTAGATGGCTGCCCTCAGCTGGCTCTGTGGAGCCCAGTCTGAACCCTTGTTCTGGCCAAGTCTGGCCTTCACTGCCCTCCCCCAGGAGAGGCTGGGACCTGGGCCTCAGACCCCATGGCTTCCTTGGCCACGGAGCCGCTGCTCTCTGGAGGGAAATCAGGAGGCTTAAATGACCTGAGTTTGGTCATAGCCAATGACAGTTCCTTGCAGATGGTGACCCAGACCATGACATTATGGGTCTCAGTTTGCAGGACCAGCTTAATAGACTAAAAGAGGAAGGTGATTAAGAATCAGATGATCTGTTTCCAGGCCTGGTCACTCACCATCTGCATGGTGTTGGACAAATCACGGAGCTTCTCTGGGCCTCAAATATAAAACCAGAGAACAGGCTCACATCTGAGTTTCTTAACTAGGGCTGCACTTCAAATAACTTGAGGAACTTTCTCAAATTACATATTCCTGGGTTCCCTCAAATGCTACTGAATGTCTGAGCTCATATATATACTTTGAAACACTGTCCTGGTGATTCTGGTTCACATCTCTGAGAGCACATGGGAGGCAGCCATCATGTGGAGTGGCCATCACATGGGGCGGCTTCATGGAGTCAGGTCCCCATGTGGTGGAAGGAGAGAGAAACTCAGAAACAGAGACTAGAGAGCCTCCCAGTGCCAGGCAAGGAAGGCCAACGGTTACCTGTAAGTTCCTGTAGTGGACAGCACTGCGACAGTGGCTGATCTTCGCCATCTCCTCGCTCGTGTAGAACAGCCCGCACAGCTTGCAGTAAAACCCAGTCCTGGGCACCACGAACTCCACCCCTGCAGAAGGATGGGGGATGTACAGGTAGGCATTTAGGAAGGCGATGGGAGGCCTCTGCGGTCCTGCAGCCTTCAGGTGGAAACTGGGACAATGAGCTCCACCCCTCACTTGCCGTTGACTTTGGCTGGTGACCCAGCTTCTCCAAACTCAGTTGCCTCATTTACAAAACAGGCCAGAAGAGAACAGCACCCACTTCATTCACACTAGTTCCCAGAGGCACATGCTGAGCAAGTAGAGGCTCTGCAACTGCTTCTGGGAACCAGGTCCAGGCTCTCCTAGCACCAGCCCGTTTCTGGGGAAAGGAAGAGGGAGGTTGTTTCTTACATTTCACTTGTTGGATGTCATTTCTTTGCACTCTTCCCCTCTCAGCAGTGGATGAGGCCAGGACTCTGGCAGAATATTCTCATTTTTGTTGGTTTATTTTAGAATTATGTTCATCAAATAAAATTTTTTAAATAGACAAAAGTGAGGAAAAATCACCCAGAGTCATTTCAATTAAAACATCTTCTTCCACACTACCTATAGGCAGAGCCTTCTTTGGGGGATGCTGGGGGGGTGTGAGAGCAGTTTTAATTATACCCTAAGTGCAGCGTGTCTCCTCCTGCTTTCATGTCATAGTCTACCATACATTTGTCCCCATCTTTTTCTCCAGTCTTTACATCTGAACCATCAACTAATAGTATTTCATGTCATTTGTTAATGTAAGTCCCAGGACTCTGGGAGGCCTTTTGATTCTAAGGAAAGAAAACAGGGGCCTGACAGCCAGTGAAGTGAGCATCTCAGCCCAGAAAGTTCATCTGTCAGGGGGTGGTGGCTGCTCCATCCACCAAGGTGTTTTAGGGGTCACAGTTTTACTTAGAAGACACTGTCAGCACAGTGGAAACAGTCCAGGTCTGAGAGGGCACAGACTGGACGCTAAGATCCTATGCGACCTGGGGAGAGTCAGCTGAACGCTTCCCAGGCCTGTTTCCTCAGGCACCTGAGTGTATGGTCCCGGCAAGAGAGCAAAGTGTTATCCTCAGGCGCCTGGCTGGTGCCAGGGCTGGGAGAGCAGGACCCTTCACAGGACTGAAGGGGCCACGCTGACAGCTGTCAGGCTGACGCTGAGGCTGTGGCCTCACCCTGCGTGTGCAGACACATTTCAGCTGGGCCTTGGCGCTGCCCCTGGTTAGCTGCCCCTGCTCCCCCGGGGGTGGGCCGAGGGCAGGCCGCACTGGGGGGAGCGGAGAGGGGCTGGGGGAGAGAGGCTGGGCCTCGGCCAGATGCTGTGTGTGACCCCAAGTCTGGGGCTCCCTTCCCTTTCCTCCTCCCGCCTCCTGTGAGACAGAGCAGGGTGCCCAGGAGACCCCGTCATAGAGAAGCACAGGCTTATAATTACAGCTTTCTTTTCTGTTTCAAAAAAGCCACTTTTCAGTGTGGAGGGCAGGCCTGGGG